CACTATGGCCACGCCCACCCAGCAACCAGGCAGAGAACCTCTTGCTAAAATTTTTGAAGCCCACCCCTGATTTGAAACATAATGTATAGGACTTTGTTCAGCACTACATAACTACGAAAGCACCAACAGACCTGAATTCCTCCTGTTATGACAAGTGTTGTATTCCACTCTTCTCAAAAAAAGAATCCCAGGACCCCATTTTAGGTTCCACAATATTGAACTTTTAACATAATCTTCACCCCTTTTTTCCTTCTCAAGAACCCAATAAGCTCCAACTCTCCTTTCTAGCTTGAGAAGGAATTAAAAAGTGTCACATTCACAGCCAGGGAAGTTTGGAGAGAAGGTCTTCTTCTTTGGTGGAGTCAATTCTTTGACGATCACTTCGTTTCGATTGATCAGCATGGCCGGGGAAATTAACATCCCCTTAAATATTAACTTTATAGAAACGTAAGGTTTCAAATTTGCTATGGCAAATCTAGACAGCATACTAAAAAGCAGAGACATTACCCGGCCAACAAAAGGGCGTATAGTCAAGGCTACGGTTTTCCCAGTTGCAATGTATGGCTGTGAAAGTTGGGCCATAAGGAAGGCTGAGCGCCAAAGAATTGAGGCCTTTGAACTCTGGTGCTGGAGAAGACTCCTGTGAGATCCCTTGGACTGCAAGGCGATCCAATCGGTCAGTCCTAGAGGAGATCAACCCTGACTGCTCCTTAGAAGGCCAGATCCTGAAGATGAAACTCAAATACTTTGGCCACCTAATGAGAAGGAAGGACTCCCTGGAGAAGAGCCTAATGCTGGGAACGATGGAAGGCAAAAGAAGAAGGGGACAGCAGAGAACGAGGTGGCTGGATGGAGTCACTGAAGCAGTAGGTATGAGCTTAAATGGACTCCGGGGGATGGTAGAGGACAGGAAGGCCTGGAGGAACGTTGTCCATGGGGTTGTGATGGGTCAGACACAACTTCGCAACTAACAACAACAAGGTTTCAGGAAGCCTTGGAAGATTTTTAATTCACCTTGCTGCCCAGGGCCGAAATCCTGATATCACCCTAGACCAATGGTTGTCCAACCTTTTCTTAAAAGCCTCCAGTGATGGAATAGCCACATCTCTAGAAGGCAAGCTGTTCAATTGCTTTAATTGCTCTGATGGGCAAGAAATTCCTCCTTATCCCATGTTTGCCTCTCCCACTGTTAAGCTTCCATCGATTTTACTCCCAGCCTCAGGCACTCTGGCAAATAAATCCACTCTCTCTTCCCTTGTGACAGCTTCTCAAATATCAGAAGATGGTTATCGTGTCTTCTTTGCTCCTTTTCCTTTTCAGGTTAAACATGCCTAATGCAAGTTCAGAGAGGAACAATTAATCCCCATGTTCTCAACACTGTACCTTTATTAATGCAGTGCAAAAATTGCACTGGTCCATTTGGAAGCAATAGCACATGGCTAGTTTATGTTCAGTCTATAGCAGAGGTGTCAAACTCAAGGACTGGGGCCTGGATCTGACCTGCGGGGCCACCCTGAAAACAGCGAAGGATTGGCCCACGGTGCTTCTGCCAGTGAAAACAGGCTCCCAAGCTCCATTTTTTGGCTGTCATGGCCTCCTGCAATCCTCTGCCAGTGAAAACGGAGCTCGGGTGGGCCACGTGGCAGATCGCTCGGACCACCACAGGCGCCCCCGACAGGAGTGATGTCGAGCTGCCCACGCCCCCCCTGGCCCCCCGAGGTCAAACACAACCCTGATGCGGCCCTCAGTGAAATCCAGTTTGATACCTAATGGAAAGATTGGCAAAAATGTTTAAAGACAAATCAGCTAGATGTTGGAAATGTCATCAGATACCGGGGTCGTATAACCCTATGTGGTGGACATGTGTAGAAGCCAAAAAATATTGGGCAAAAATTCGTATGTGGTTTGAGAAGATGACGCAGCAACACATTGATTTAAAACCTGAACTATTCCTGTTGGGGATTCTACCAAAAGCTTATAGTAAAGAAAATGTATATTTGATTATTCATGTAATAACTGCAGCTAGAATGGTATTTGCACAAAATTGGAAAAGTGGAGAGATCCCTATGGATGAAAATGTGATTAAGAAAATATTAGAATGTGCAGAAATGAATAGATTAACACCTGCAATTAAAGGGAAGGAAGAATCTGATTATTATAATATATGGGAGTTATTTTATCAGTGGTTAGAGAATAAATATGAAAGTAATATATTGTAAAGTCAAATAAGTTAAGAAGAGAAATGGTACAATAGTAGGTATGTTAAGTATTAGTACCCCGTTTTCCCCCAAATAAGACATCCCCTGATAATAAGCCCAATCGGGCTTTTGAGGGCATGGCAATAAGGCCAAGCGCTTATTTCAGGGTTCAAAAAAATGTAAGACAGGGTCTTATTTTTGGGGAGACATGGTAGTAATATAAGAATAGATATAAATAATGAATATGGTGGTAAATTTTAATTGTTATGACACAAAAATATGTACTCAGACAACAACACACTGTTTAATGAAAGATGAAATGTTTGTATTAAAAGAAATATATATATATATATATATATATATATATATATATATATATATATACACACACACATACACATACACATACACATACACATACACATACACATACATACACATATATATAAAGGAAATTCAGTTTGACACCCCTGGTCTATAGTCTGTCAGACTAGCCAGATCCTTCTCATAAAATCTACTCCCAAGAGATCTTTCTTCACTTAAGAGTGGGAAAGGTTTTTGTTTATTATATGTGCCTTAAAGCATTTTTTAAACTACACTTGTCTTTTGTCTTTGTTCTTAGTACAGTATTTGTCTTCATAGGGGAGGGGGAAAAAAACCCCCATCAGATAAATGATGAAGATAGGTAAGTAGTTTTCTGCTCTAGACTCACACCAAATGAATAGCACGATTCTCTCTTTCTCTCCTTGCAACATAAAGGAACCATGAGAATGAATTTGTATGACTCAAATTGTGCAAAGGAACAGGAACTGCAGTGGCGAACAACAATTTGAAAAATTAGATTGATACAAGTAGGCAACAAGCTTCTGTGTGCTTGAAAAAGAAAACTAAATGGAGCCCAACGAAATGAAAACTAAAACTAAACGAAATCTTACTTGAAGGAAAAATATGAAAAAAGCAATGTTACTTGACCGCTCAGAGGTAACTTATGTAACTGTAGCCGAATTTTTAAAATGTAAAACATTTCTTTGGCATTGTTGGGTGACTTAATGAATGATGCAATAGCATCACTTCCTGGATAGTCTCTCCTATTATTAATTCTTCATTCATGCCTTTTTGAACCCTTGTCTCAAAATATGTACTGGTTATTGTTTTCTAACTTATAAAGGAAAAAAATATATATTGCTAGAAAGATATACAAAGAAAAGATGGCCTCCTTTAGATCAAACTTGCAACTTCTATGCCCAGACTATAGAGCTGTGAGAATTCACACAGTTAATTTCATACCAGGACAGATGTATATAAGGGTATTAATTTGCATAGCATTGCACGCAGGAAAAAAAAATAGCATTAATTCAATTATCAGACAATGAAGAAAGGCACATAACTTCTCTTCAGATCACCTGGAATCTCAAGCAACCTTGCCATCTGGTAGCTACTCAAGCCAGCTTTTAAAACCCCATTGATACCTATAACTGGTAGCTGAACTATAGTGAACATTGAAGACTGAAAACAACTCATTACAGGTTGTAACTAAAGTTACATTGATGTAACAAATCACCCAGGGAAATATTTTTAACAATCTGAAAAAATACATGCACAAATATTTGTGATCTAGCTTATTTATATTTAGCACTAGATTTTCAGAAATCAAAACACCCAAATATATCGCTTTCATAATGTAAGAACTGTAGAAAACATAACTAATTTTTCTGCTACCGCAAGTACACCAGATACTTTTACAATTCTTAATTGGCACAAATATATAGTGTTTTTTTTAATGCTAAAAAAATCCCCCTTCCTGGTTCTGAGATGGCACAAGAAGCTTTCTCAGATGTGGACAAGTACACAAAGTCATTTGGCAGTCCTGGAAACCTGTGAATAAGATTTTTTTTCCTTCCTCCCAGAAGAACATTTTGAATTCTCACTGGATTCATCTTGGACTTGGCCAGTGGTGAAATCCAAATTTTTTTACTACCGGTTCTATGGGTGTGGCTTGGTAGGCGTGGTATGGCTTGGTGGGCATGGCTTGGTAGGCGTGGCAGGGGACGGATACTACAAAATCTTTATTCCCTCCCCACTCCTGGGGAAAGGATATTGCAAAATCTCCACTCCCTCCCCACTCTGGGGCCAGCCAGAGGTGGTATTTGCCGGTTCTCCGAACTGCTCAAAATTTCCGCTATGGGTTCTCCAGAGCCTGTCAGAACCTGCTGCATTTCATAATCTTGAGGCTTTTCAAAAGGTACTGGATGTGATACAGATTGCAGCAGTTTTACAAACGCATGCAGTGGGACTAAGGTCCCTGCCCCTTTATGAAACATCCTTTCTTTAACCATAGCCATAGTTTTATGACGCCAGCTGACCAGAAAAAAAAAAAAAAGAGCTGCAAAGCCCCTCCAAGTATCCAAGTTTCTTTGTTAGCAGTGCCTCTGAATCTGTTCCTTCCATGGGACAGCCCAAATGCAAGAAGATCCACAACTCAAGACTGTTATCTGACGATGGCATCTATCATTGCACCTTATATAGCACGAGCCCCAATCACTAGCAAAGCAGCATAGACGAAGGATCATTATTTTGGCATAGGAGAAGCTAAGAAAATACCACTACCTCCGCCCTCCACCCACCCACCTACAGCCTGTGGCGATGCTTTGGGTCCTATGCCCCCTTCCACACCCCACGAATATCTGCCACAAGGATATAATAACCCCCCCAGGAAATCCACCAAGCGGGTGAGGATGCAGCAAAGCAGGAAAAAGAAACCATTTTTTTAACCCATTCTTCTTGCAACATATTTCAACTCACCATGGTTTGCTGGGAAACGTCCATCCAAGATTAGCAAGATCCCCAATCCTCGGATGGGATTTTATTTATTTATTTATTTTTGGTCCCAGCTCAGGTCATGGTTTCTCTGGGGAGGGTGGAAGGACTTTCTTCCTCCATGAGGAAGAAAATAGAAGAATAAAATAAAAATAAAAGCCCCCCCCTTTCAAGAAAGCTACCTATTCCTAGCCTGTGGAGGCTTCAGGGACCCATCAAGACAGGCAGGCAAGCAGCAGGCAGGACAAAAAAATAAAAATAAAAATAAATAGGGATTTATTTATTTAAAAAAGCCTCCACTTTGGCCCAAGGTTTCATTTTAAAAGGAGCCCATGCAATAAAATAAAAGGGGGAGAATAAATGGGTGGGAAGGAAAGGGGGTGGGCCTATAGGGGGGCTCCTCACATGGGTGGGGGGGGGCAGGGGCTGGGTCCAGGGGCCTCCAATGGGTGAGGGGGGTCTTGGGGGGGGTCAGAATAACGGGATTTTTTGGGGAGGGGGCTCTGCTTGAAAGGGGGGGCTCTGAAGGGGGGGACCTGTCTTCTGGGGTGGAGGGGGGGAATTGGCCTAACTGGGTGAGTGGGTGGGTGGGTCCTGCGCCTGGGAATCTCCTCGGTAGCCCCCTCCTCCTCCTGCCTCGCAGCCCCTGCCTTGGCAATCGCCCCCAAATCCGGACGGGCACTTCCGCCTCTCTTTCTTCTTCCTCTCCAGCGGAGCGGGTGGGGAGGGGAATGGCCACGCCCACGGCCACGCCCCCTTCGCGGGCTCGCCCTCCCTTCCTCTCCGCCCGCCTGCCTGCCTGCCTGCCTAACTTCCGGAATCCAACCGCACCGGAAGCGGACTCCCCTGCGGGCGCGCGACCCGGGCCTCTCTGCCGGAAGTGGCGGTGGCGCGGCGAAAGAAGGGCCGCGCGCGCCTAACGCTCGCTCGCTCGCGAGACGAAGCCCCGCCCCCAAACCCGTCCCCATCTCTCTCTCTCTCTCTCTCTCTCTCTCTCCCTCCCCGCCCCCCCCCCCAAAGGGCATGCGCAAGGGGAATCAACACCCCCCCCCCGCCAAAATAGAGAGCGGGAGTTTCACCTTTCAAGCCTCGACTTAATTCGAGATCTGTTTATTGCAGAAGAATAAAAACGACACCTCTTTTTAATTAAAGGATTAAAATAAACAAAGTGATAAATGAATAAATATAAAAAATAAATATATTCATTCATTTTTTTAAAAAAAATTAATAGAATTAGTCAATGTATGCATTGATTTAATTAAATTACATTTAATTAAAATGTCTTTAAGATTAATTAAATGTAAAATGTGATCCGGACTAAAATTAGTTAAAACAATTAAAATATTAATAATAGCTTCTCAGTTTCAGTAACATGACAGTGTGATTAAATGATTAAATTTTTGCATTGCACCTACTGTTAAGACTAGAAAAATTAAATATATTCAGTAATTATCTTCCCGAGACTAAAATTAAAATATTGATTAAAAATAAGTCTCAATATTATAGTATTAATAAGTATATTAACTAAAATGTTGATTAAAAGTCTATCAAATATTAAAAATCATTTAAAAAAAAAGCAGGGGCTTGTAAATAGCCTTCATGTTTTTATAAATATCTGCCCTTATGTTTGATTGTGGAAAATGCCACAAAATTCCACTCACCCACCTGTGCAGAAAGCTGAAAAACTTTGTCTTTTCAGCTGACCCAGAAGTCCCTTTTATTATTTATTATTTGTTTCAATATTTTTGCATTATGAATTTAATATTGAAAATGCTATCAAAGCTAAACATTAAAATATTGACAAATCAGATTAAAAATTACCCTTGGATTGAATGGAAAACTGGGATGCCAACCAAATAAATGAACAATAAACAAACAAATAAATAAAAAACTTCAATGGGTTTTACAGGTAGTCCTCACTTAATGTCCCTAATTAGGACTGGCAACTCTGTCACTAAGCAGTATATTTACAATGAAATAAATAATAAACATGCACTAAAATTACTGCAGAGACTTAGACATTATAAAAAGCAGGGGCTTGTAAATAGTCTTCATGTTTTTATAAATATCTGCCCTTATGTTTGATTGTGGAAAATGCCACAGAATTCCACTCACCCACCTGTGCAAAAGGCTGAAAAACCTTGTCTTTTCAGCTGACCCAGAAGTCCCTTTTTAAAGCCTGTACGTCCATTTTTATTTGTTGATTAATTAACTTATTAAATGTGTATGGTGTTAATCTCACCACCAAGCGACTCTTTTACAACGCACCTTGCTTTACTTACATTAAACAAATAAACCTTCTGACCAAAACCAGATTCACAAACCAGATTCATACTTCCAAATTTCACCCTCAATCACCCATGGAAAAACGAAAACCTGCTACCCAAAGGTTGATCCACCTAGCCCCTAAAACAGCAATTCAAAAATGTACAAATAAACAGATATAATCCCAGGATTATGTGAAATCATATTTGCCCCTGGCAAATGCAGTATAAAAGAATTGGAGGAGGATTTCATCACAGACACCCTGTGGTTGTTCCATGAACTGGTTTCGATTTGCAGTTGAAAAATGATACAGATGCTGGTTTCACAGGAATTGCTAGGACTAAATCTTTGCATCCATTCCCCAAGGCAACTCAAAGAATAACTGTGCCACGAAGAGGGTGAGAGAAATTTAGCATATTGTTTAGGAGGTGGCCGTGACGGCAGGATTTTGCAGCTTTGCAGGCATGAAAATGTCATCAGTTTTCCAGATGGAGAAGAACACCCTGTGCTGAACACAGAGATTGCCATCAGTCTTCCCTCTCTTATTTTTCCATTTTTTATGCTGGGACACAGTTGGAATCCCAAGGCTACAAAACTTTAGTAAAATAACTGAAATTCAGGAGAGAGAGAGAGAGAGAGAGAGAGAGAGAGAGAGAGAGAGAGAGAGAGAGAGAGAGAGAGAATGAATACTATTTTTTTTTTAAATTTTATTTATATGCCGCCCTTCTCCGGAGACTCAGGGCAGGCTTATAATGCGCTAAACAATAGCCTTCATTCTTTTGTATATTTATACAAAGTCAGCTTATTGCCCCCACAACTGGATCCTCAATTTACTTACCTTAGAAAGGATGGAAGGCTGAGTCAACCTTGAGCCTGGCAAGATTCGAACCTGCAGTAATTGCAGGCAGCTGGTCTTAATAACAGGGTGCTTTAGACCACTGTACTACCAAGGCTCTATTTAACATGAAGTCAGACTTATGAAATGTTTGAGAGACTGTGATTCTCTGATATTCCAAAGAGGAAAATAGCAAAGCAGATAGTAGAAAAACAACTGTTCATGGGGAAGCCATGAAGTTAAGTAAACTGGGTTCTGAGTAGAGTTAGCAGTTCTAAGGGAACCAGTTTTGTGTAGTGGTTAAACATACAGAATAACAGAGTTGGAAGGGACTTTGGAGGTCTTCTAATCCAACCTCCTGCTCAAGCACTAGATCCTATACCATCCCGGACAAATGGCTGTCCACCTTGACTTAAAAACCTCCAGTGATGGAGCACCCACAACTTTTGGAGGCAAGCTGTTGCCCTGATTAATTGTTCTCACTGTCAGGAAATTTCTCCTTATTGGATTAGAAACTAAGAGACTGAGTTCTATAAGTAGTCCTTGAGATACAACTGTAATGGAGCCTAGAATTTCTGTCAATAAGTCATGATGGTCTTAGGTTGAGGCACCCATGCAACTGATCTTATTTTGTGACTTTTATTTGTGACAGTCGTAAAGCGAGTCCATTCATTCCACTGGAAACCAACAATCATGGTGGTCAATCATCGTATGACTGTGGAATGATTCAACTTCTGAAAATAGTAACCCCTGTTACTATGCTCTTGTTCCTGCAATGACCAAAGGTCAAGACTGACTCAATTGACTGCAACAAAACAAGATGACCACAGGATGGTAGCAGTTTTCTGTGTCTCTTTACTGCCATCTAATGGTACACTGATATTTTGCAATAATCCAACTCTTGAGCTATTTTCCCCAACTGCAGCATAGTACTCCTGAAAAAGATCAGATTTTCTGTCTGGTCTTGTTGGCATGCCTATTCTCTCCAAATTGCATGTCGAAAATTTCAAGCGGATCCATTGGAATCCAGACAAGCGAGTCATGGGGCTAAGAATAGGATTCAAAAAAAGCATCCAAGAGGATCAAAGGGGATAATTCTGGCTTGGCAATTAAAAACGATTTTGCAATGAAAAAGGATTATATTTTTTATAAACGTTGATGCCTAAGTAGTCCAATCATTAAAAGCCTAGAGGAACATTCCATTAAAAAGAACATCCCACAGTTGTTCTGGAAACTGGTTAAAAATTAAGCATCAGATGGACAACACCTTTTATTGGCAAGAGTTTCAAATATGGTCTGGGAACAAGACTATCTGGCTATTTTTAACAAAGCCATGTCAGGTCCCACCCCTAAACTATACAATTTTGGACTGCACAATCATAGTTCTCTTCCTTACTTCCTACAACACATAATCCATAATATGATATGTTTATTCTTGGCAATGTGTAGATTCAGACACTATTTATTTATTCATTTATTTATTGATTCGATTTATATGCCGCCTTTCTCCGGAGACTCAGGGCGGCTTACAATGCATTAAGCAATAGTCTTCATATTTTTGTATATACCTGCTTAGTAGGGCTTTCGACCCCCCCCCCCAGCGGTGTTCTTTTTTTTATACAAAGTCAGTTTATTGCCCCCACAATCCAAGTCCTCATTTTACCTACCTCGGAAGGATGGAAGGCTGAGTCAATGATGAGTTAGAATCCATCGTTTATGGCTCAATGTGCTCTCCTTGAGTCCATTCAATAGTGGTTAACTTAATAATCTAGCTAGATAAGTCATGTGAACCAGGTTGGTCAGTCAATCAGACATGTCCCACTCAACAGGTGTTGTTGTGTAGACAACATTGGGGAAGGAGTCTCTGTCTGCAATCTTGTGCTTCTGAAGGAGACAGTTAGATCTCAATGCATCCAATGAATAAAGCTACTCTAAATTTGTGCAGTTATTCATTAAACTGATAGGTGGTTCAAGATGGGGGGGGGAAGCATTTTTCCAGAAAATGTGTCTGCACAGGGATGCTTGGAGAGAGGAGTTGAAAAAAGTCAACTGCACAATCAAAGACCTGCCCCTGTTTTACACATATCGAACATGTATACAGAACTTATGAAACACATGAGACCAAAAAAATCCATGGTACCTTAATCTTATATTTGGTAACTGCAGGAAGACTGCTCTGTGTTCAATGTTGGAAATATTCCCCAACGATAGTAGGAAGTTATGGTTAGTGAAAGTCATGGAACATTGGAACTGGGCAGAGATGGCAAAATTAACAGCTCTCATTAGAGG